CAGAATATCGATTCACCAAATCGAAATGTTGCAGAAAAGTCAGGAGGCAATCCTTTCAGATTGTGCTTTAGACGTTGACAGTTCAATTAGGCCAAACTTGATTGCATCTCCAGAAAACGTATATACATAGTACAGTAATTCTTATCATTGACGTGCAATTGGCATGATTTTTAAAAGTATCTAATAGAATTACGGTATTGTGCCAAGGCTAGGTTAAGGAGTATTTAATAGTCTAGTCAAATGAGGGAAATGACTGAAGAGTACCGTATAATGGAGAAAATGATTGAAAGATGGGTCATTTTTATCGGAAATTTCGTAAGGAACATGCACGAATATGAAAATGAAGATTATTTGCCTGGCATAGGGGGAGAAAATTTGCAAAAACAGATGCAAATTTGATTATCTTGCGAAAGATATGGAAAAAAAGTTTCAATAAAAGTTTTTCACAATGCCATTTTACAAAAAAAAGTATTGTCATATCTCTCATAGAACAAAAGTTCTGCGCACCCAATAGCAAAAGGCCTCAAAATTCGCGGAAATTTCTAAAAAATTCAAAATAATTATTAAAAATTTAAAATTGATAATTTAATCGATTCGTAACTTAATCGGTTTAACTATCTTTTCAGAGAAAACAATTTTTTTAACCTATATTTCACTGTTTTTTTAAACAATTAAATGTCTAAACCGCTAAAAATTGTCCAAATGAGTTACTTTTTGCATCAAAATTTGCAGCAGCCTAAACGGAACAAATTCGCATTTTTTGTATCTATTAACGGTAATGAGATACATGCACTGTCAATTTATTAGTTCTATGAGAGATGAAAAAGTCATCAATATTTTTTTTTGGAAAATGGCATTGCGAAAAACTTTTATTGAAACTTTTTTCCATATCTTTCGCGAAATAATGGAATTTGCAATTGTTTTTGAGGATTTTCTGTCCCCCTAATGCTAGGCAAATAATTTTCATTTACATATTCGCATTCCTCCAGAAATTTCCGATAAAATGACCCGTGTTTCAATCATTTTCTCCATTATAAGGTACTCTTCAGCTATTTCCCTCATTTGACTGGACTATAACAGCTAACTGCTATTGTATAAAGACACTTTATATACAGAATGCCTAGGAAACAAAATTGGCCACCAGCAGGAATTGAACACTCATTAAAAAACGGTTCTATGACATTCCACAGGTATTTTCATAAAAGTGTGTACCGATTAACTAATTTATATTATTCGGAAATGATTGCAAACAAACATGTAATTAGTGAATTTATACTAAAGAAGTAGCGAGCAGGATAAGGACGAAGAAGAAGCAGAAAGAGAAAAATGTGTTCGAGGTGCAGCCAGTGCTGCCGCGATGAAGAAGACGACGAGCAGCTTCCGGAACCAGAATATTGCTCAGGTGATTAATTGACAATCAAGGCCTAAGTTCTTTAACAGCATTGTAATGGAAAACGGAACTTTAATTACCCGAAACTGCCCATCAACAGAAAATAAATTATCCCTTAACTATTTATTACGCTACCGAAAATAAATAATAATTATCAATGGGTCACGTTCTTTAACACTAATTACAAAACTTCTTAGGTATTTACAATTATTCACTATTTGTCCATTTAATACTTTCTTAAGCAAATGTACCAGTTATAAAAACTACCACAGTTGGTCAGTCGGGTCACTTTTAACCTTATTATTATACTGATGTGATTAAATGGGACAATTCGGGACATTAAGTCGAACTGAATACGTATCTACTAGGTATTCATTCTAATTGACACTTCAGCCAAGTACTTGTATGCTGTAATATCAATCAGATGGATATATGATATCAAATGAGATCTAATCTGACCTGAACATAGCCAAATTGACAACAAATCCATTTATTGTACTCAACCAACCCATTTAAATGTAGTTTACATATATTGAAATTAGTCGACGCATCTGTTAAGTTAATTAACATGAGGATGAGAATAAAATAGATAAATAACTTGTAAACATATTTAGCAACAATTTCAAAATTCACGTATGAACCCCAAGATCGTACAATAGTGAGAATTTTATAAACCATAAAAGATGAATTACTTATTTTTCTTTATTTCTGACAATAGTTGATACCTAAGAAGAAAACTAGTTTGTACTAATACATTTCAGAAGCTATTTTTCCATTTACAGTCTCCCCAAGTTTCGCCCTCAGATGGGAGACTTCTTCAAGGGTAACTCTATAGATTATTAAAACAGATGCATTACAAACAACCTTTTATAGCCTTCTTCTGTCGCTGTTAGAGTAGCTACTTCAATAGAAGATTAAGAAGGTTATTTGTAATGCATTTGTCTTAACGAACTATACAATTAGCCGTAAGGAAGCTCCCCACTCGAAGACGAAACGTTGGGAGATTGTAAATAACAAATAGCTATTGCCCTGAATTCGTTTAAAGTGGTTTCTTTCTCATAAAAAATTACAGGAAAGGTATTGTGATAAGTTTATAGACTCTGAACTAATCTGTAATCTGCTGTTAGCTTGTTTAACATTTTGTTCCAAAGTTAAAACCTGAAAGATTCCCGTTGATTTTCCCTTAAATCCGTATAAAGCTCTTGAGGTTGTTGTTTCCAAAGAATCAAAATGGGTCTTAACGTTACCTTGAAGCCCTTCGTTAGTTTGGAAACGCAAGTCTTCAACTTGATAGTCACTCGACCCCAAATCGGGACAGTATGGAGGGTGGTCGAAAAGGCTCCGTTGAAGATGCTCAAGAAGACGTTGGGTTACAACAGTATTGTAAGAACAATATTGTTGTAGATTAAAACATTTCCAGAATCGGCATATCTTTACTTTCGTTATTGATTGATCTCCGATCTAAAACCGATTGACTTCTGTCTTTTCCCTGCTTTTCCTTGTTTCAAGGTAATAACGAGGAGCTTCAAGGCAACGTTAAAACTCATTTATTGGGTTGTTCGGAAAGTCATTTCGTTTTTTCCCGAGAGAGGATTTAATTGTATTCTTTTGCACCAAACTTCACATTTAAGCCGTATAATTTTTATATGCTTTGAGAGCTCATATAGCAAGGCTTGTGTGTGAAAAATTCCAATTAATTCTACGCAGTAGTTTTTGGTTGGTGCCCTTTTAAATATGGAGAGCGATAAGCAGCATTTTCGACATATCTTACTATTTTACTACAGAAAGGGTAAAAATGCTGTTCAAGCCAGAAAGAAATTGACTTATGTGTATGGAGAAGATGTGCTGACAGTACGCCAGTGCCAGAACTGGTTCGCTAAATTTCGATCCGGCAATTTTGATGTCGAAGATGTACCACGTTCGGGAAGGCCGGTTGAAGCTGATAAAGACGCGATAAAGGCATTAGTTGATGTGAACCGGCGAATAACAACACGTGAGATCGGATTGAGGTTAAATTTATCAAATTCAACAGTTTATGACCACTTGAAAGGCCTGGGATTATCCTCGAAGCTCAATGTATGGGTTCCCCATGTTCTCACAGAGAGAAATCTGTGTCGCCGCATTGACGTCTGCGATTTGCTTCTCAAACGTCACGAAAATGATCCGTTTTTGAAGCGCATCATCACTGGGGACGAAAAATGGGTTGTATACAACAACGTCAAACGCAAGAGGTCATAGAGCAAAAAAGGTGAACCGGCTCAAACCATTTCCATCGTTTTTTCTTGAGCTTTTACCGGATAACACAACGATTAAGTCTAAAGTCGGAAGTCTACTGTCATCAGTTGGACAAACTGAATGATGCACTTCAACAGGAAAGGTCAGAACTAATCAACAGGAAAGGTGTAGTGTTGCACCAAGACAACGCGAGACCTCACACAAGTTTGGTCACTAGCCAAAAGCTTTTACAGCATGAATGGGATACAATGCTACACCCACCATATTCTCCAGACCTGGCACTATCGGATTATTATTTGTTCCGGTCATTCCAAAATTTTTTAGACGGTAAAACCTTCACCTCAAATGAGGAGGTCAAAAACCTCCTCGATCAGTTTTTTGCCAGCAAAGACCAAAAATTTTATGAGCGTGGAATTATGCTAGTACCAGAAAGATGGCAAAAGGTGTTGGACCAGAACGGTCAATATATAATTTAATAAAGTATTTGTTTATTATACGAAAACTATCTTTCATTTCCATAAAAAAAAACGAAATGACTTTCCGAACAACCCTATAGATTCATTGTTGGCAACACTTCATCAGGAGGGTATTGGAAAGTTTTCCCACAAGTACGACAAATGCCTCAATCGTTAATGTAATTATGCCAAAGAGGATAATGAAGTGACTTTTAGCAACCGCAATTATTGAAATTACAATTAGTTGAACCAACTTCTAAAATATATAAGTACTAATAATGTAAACAATAAGATAGTTAGTAAACCTGTACATTTTCTAGCTAATTAATACACGACTTGTTAAGCCCATAACTGTTTCGATTACCAAATGAATAAACCCAGTAGTCTCTTAACTTGTAAGTGCGTTTATTAATTCTCCCCTTACAATCCAGGATACGCATTCCAATTAGAGTCATAACCATTTTACCACCAATAAAATTCTACATACATATTATGTAATATAGTGAAGCACATTCACTTCACAATGTTATCGATTTAGTGCTAGGGCTTCCTGCAATTTCCCTTTCGCATAACCATTGGCAAAACGTTTCTGAAGTGCAAATTGAGTTTATAATCTCAACGAAACTGAATTGCGTATTGGAATGGAAACCCTATTTTACCTCTTCAATTATCTGTTAACGAGCAGATGTTATCAACAACTTCATTGGAAGCTAAAACCATACAATATAGCTGTTATTTGAAAGCACTTGATAAATGTCCGAAGCACGGGAGCGAAATGTAAGATAAACAGCGTAAATAAGCCCCTCTTTAAAGAAATAACCTTACGGTCTGGCTGCTATCAAAGGCGAAATGAATGTTTTACTATTATTTTCGCAGAAACAAAACCGTTTTAATTGCCATTCTCGTTTGCTTTGTTTCAGAAGAAGAATGGAGCTCGGATGGAAAGCAAGGACGAGGTACCTCCGGCGGAGAATCCGGCAAGTACCTACACTTTTATGTTAATAAAATAGAAATCATGTTCAGATACCTATATACGAGTTCAATCTGTCATTGAGAACCAAACCAAATTATCTGAAAATACCATAATGGATTACCTAACAAAATTCGATTTTAAAGATGCTACTGATGGTAGAAATAATACCAGTTCTTTTAAAAGCAACGTTAATCCGAATAATGTAGGGCATTACCTAAATGAAATTTCGACAGAGGCATTTTCTTAATAAATAAAATCGATCTAAGTAAATGAAATATATGGGATCTGTAATGGTCCTAATTGTTTGGTTTGAAATACTCTGCAAACAACTTTAGAGTGTTTTTCTTTTATATTGAAAATGAAAAGATTTCTTCAGTTATTTTTGTTTCTTCCGGCTTTCAATTCTTTTTTTTTTATTATTTTTCTCTTTTCAAGATGTTCTATAATAAGAAGTACTTGCGGATTACAAAAATGTATGAGGGACTGCTACTTATTTACCTTATAATAACATGGATTTTATGTAGTATGAAATAATACCGTACAAAGCTTGTTAATTTTATAACTTATTGTACGGTTTTGGCTTAACTAGCTGAAGCAGCATTACCTTGTCTAATACTATTTCCAAGTTTCTCTTAAGGAACACCGAATTTCCGTGGTTTGCGAGTGTATGTTGTTTCTTAGTTTTCTTTGCTACGATTTTCGCCCAACAGAGGAAGTAAAAATGCTCAACATTTAAGTTAGTCGCCTAATTTACCATTAAAGGTTGGATTTCTTGTAATTTACGTACTTGAAGAATAATAACTATCGTTGAAATACAAATACAAAAGTGTACTTATTTCTGTTTTCCACTTTAAACCTATTCTCTATTTTTTAATTACATACTACTGCCGTTTTAGAAATCAGATTATACTATTTTTCCTTCAATAAAACCTATATGAACTTTACAATAAATAACATTAGTCTTTAATAAACAACAAATATTTCATAAAAGTTTAGATACATCTTAACACTTTTTAACATCCCTGCTTTACTGTAGGTGCTTTCCATTTCCTTAGAAATCCGTTTATTATTAAACTAATTTAGAATAAAATTACACCGTCTAGTAAAGATTGTTTACACTCTATATAGAAAAAACCGAAGTGTTTATTAATAATAGTAATATTTATATGAAATGGTATTTAATTCATAATTTTTGAGAAAAGCTGTCGAATACCTACGTGGGATAATTTTCCTTTAAGCAAATTGCTTTTCGCTCTCTTGACGTTTGATAACCTGGTAGTAAGTATTAGTTACGCTTGAATTTATTCAGTTTCCTTCTAATAAGATGTTACTGATTCGTGAAATTTTACATTCTTCTCGCGAATTGTTTCGCTTCGTTGAGCGTCATTGCTGCGATGAAATAAGAGGGTTAAGGGACCAATGTAGGCATATTTTGACATCCCTTTTATTCGCATGTTTCCACTGCAAAGTAAATATGCCAACAAAACCCATCCTTACTTTTTTAAGTGAAAATTTTACATAATAAATTGTTTTCTTCTCTAAAACCGATGAAAAATTGATATGGGTCACTATAAAGAAAAATATTTACAACATTTGTACAAACAGGTACAATATTGTGATAAGCTAAAGGAAGTTCACGACACAGAATTCATATGATAACGCTGACACTGATTAAATGAACAAAATTTCCATCATAAAAAAATTAAGGACAGCATTTTTTAGTGTTAGAATTAAGACAATAGAAATGAATGAAATTTCCACTTAAAGTGGCAAGTTCAGACCTACAATATCTGAGATGAAAATATTTAACGATTTCTCCTGTAGTAATGTCAACTTAATGGATGCTAAAATACTTAAAAACAGTCGTAAAAGCGCTAAAATGTCTTACTTAAGTTAAGACGAAAATAAAGTTAACGATATTGAAGGGAATGTAGATAATATGGAAAATTTAAAAAAAAAATTCTGTAGAAACAGCAGTAAATCGGCGATACTTAGTGGCAAATATTGTTAGATAATTAATTGTTTTGAGCAAATAAATTAACAGAAAATTAATTTTCATTCTTTTTGCTTTGCTCTATAAAATGAAAATCAGCATATTAAATTATCTGCCTAACTGTAGTACCTATATCAAGGGATATCCCGAAAGTAACTATTTATTTTTGTAATCCTTCTTACAAGACTCAGATCTATCATAAGATCGTCAGTCCTAAGACTGCTTGGACACGCATCCTGAGCTAATTCTAATCTTTTCCGCTGCGCCCATCGTTCATGTTTCGCACCCGTATAGCACCGCGCTTCAAACGTAGACCTTTAACAATCTTTTTCGAATTTATAAATTAACGTTCGATATTTCTTTTTGTTGTTCTTTTTTTATGAGCAAGTAAAGGCCTTTTACAATTATATTTGAGTTGCAAGAATAAGTATAAATAAAATTTCCTATACTTTTAGCTAATTGTAAATACAATTAATATTACAAAAATAAATGTGAATATACATGCTTTTGGTACACTCTTCTACTTGAGTTAGAAGCTAGAAAGCTCTTTTTGTCAGATTTAAAAACCAACCGACGAGAGTTTCAGTCAACTTAGGGCTAAAAGTCATAATTGACGTAGAAGTCACAAACGTATGATTAAACAACCCTCTTTTTTACGGTTTATTTTGCCTTACTCATTAGGCCTAGTTAGAGAGAGCTTTTTTCCTGTCCTAATTTTGCATTTTTCGAGGATGTGTCGTTGAATGGTTACATATAGAACAAACTGTTAAAATAAATTAGTTGCAAACGCTAGATAAGGGTATATTTACCTTTTCTTTCACCACCTACAAACCTACATCTAGGGTATTTTGTGGACAAATGCTATCGATATCTCGAAGAAATATACCAATAGCATAATTAGGATTCGGATTACGAAAATAAGACATTAAAAGACGAGCAAATTGGGGGATAAAGATAACCCATTCTATGAATTCAGGCCCCGGGAACGTTTTATAATGATTTATATGCCATGTAAAAATAGATTAAGGGACCTCTGCAGGATTAGTCATAATAAGGGTTGCATCTGATGAAGAGAATAATAAGGTATTCATTTAGTCTTATAGAAACACTATTTTTTGATATTCAAAATAGATAATACATTTTATTGTTTTGTAGCTCATAGAGCAGGATTTATTTCGTACGTTTTATGTTTCATTGTTAGTGTTTATGGTAAATTTAAAATTGATTTAGGCTTTCACAGCTGTTGTCTGAAGAAAAAATATATTTCGTGGTTTGCAGAAAACGTGGAACACCTGAAATATCAAAAAGATGGTAAAACTGGGTTTCCGGATTCTAGCATCTTCTTCATGATGAAATCCCCATGACGGATCATGGTGACGTCAAAACTGTTCGACGTTTCGACTCCTTTCGTATCACAGGGGACTGAACCAGTTCAGCACTTGAATTGGAGATCCTGCATGGACAACATACAGTTCCTGCTGAAAGGAAACGAAACGTCGAACACTTTTGACGCCACAGTAATGCAGTTTTACCCTCTAGGTGATTTGTCACGAAACTGCTTTTTGTTGTAGCTGAGACCGAAATCTTTCTGCTTCTAGCATGTCTCTTCAAGTCTGAGGAGGTCCTACTAACATATCTCACCTATTTCTTATTGATTTGCATAACGTTCTCTGCTTTACTAAGATATACTCTAGCAAAACTAGAGGACGGAGGTCCAGGTCTGGACCGTGGAAGGTCAAAATCTGGACCAACAAAAATGTTTTTAAAATAAGTTATTCAAATTATTGAAAATATATTTGCCTGTAGATAACAAAGTATGTTTGATTTTGAGCGTCACTCTTATCATTTTTTGGAGGAAGGATTGTTTTTCCTGGAGTTCGAAACAAATTTTCAAAAATATCCGGACCCCACCCAAAATTACTCACCAACCCCTGTTCTAGCACATAAATGTGTTATAATCACGGGGATCCATGACTGGTCTATTCTAAATTTGACCAAGCTTTTGGATACAACCTGAAATACACTGCAAGATTAAATTTTAAACCAAGTCAACCTAAATGTAATTATGACCACAATTTGTTAATAAATAATTACGTTACGGTAAATTTAAGTTGTTTTGGTACGAAATTGAATCTTAGAGTGTACGCGTTTCAGTGTCTGCGTAGTATAGACGGGTAATTCCGTGGAGCTTTTTACTCAAATGAGTGAATGGTATGAAAACGTTACATACTAATTGTTCACATTGCTCTCTTTCTTAATACGAATACCTAGATATCTCTTCATTGGAAACACTAGAATTCCGCAAATTAATTAAATTCTATTACCGCGTGCCATCTGTGCATAGCAAACACACAGCGAAACCGTGCACGTACCTCTCACTATTCAGTGATATTCAAATATGCAGGAGAAACTGCCTTAGCGCTTTACATATACCGAGTAAAAAGAATACTACTTAAATGCAAAAATGTTACGAAATATTTCACTGATATTCAATTGATAACAAATAGTCACTAATTAAATATTACATCTTACATTAATTAATGCTTTCGGTTGGAAGGATATAAAGAAATTTGTTTTGTCAATAGTCCGCAGTATCCTAAGTACCTAATAATAAATATGTTGTCATCAAAATTTTAAAATTAATACGACTGATTCCTCGGAGACTTAATTTAATAATTACTTCGACGTATTCAAAACTAACAGCATTTATATAGTAAGTAATCTACTTAGACGATATGTAGGTAATAACCTCTAATAAAATTAATTTTCTATAAAGACCTTCTAAAAAAAGATCAAATTTTACTGATTATCTATGCACACTGCATATACAAGTATATTTCACGAAAACTCCTGAGTCACTGACTCATTAACGCTTTGTCTTAATCCTTGGATCTATCTAAGCACAGCTGAAACTTTGTACATAGGTTTCCTTTGTGGTGTATACAAGAAATAAAGAAGATATTTCAAAATTCGCCAGTGGTAAAGTCTGTATGGACCATAAACTTTTGCCT